TTTGCATATTGTAAGAAGAATCTTTACTCAGCTTAATGATAATATACTTAAAGAATGAGGGTAGTCATGAAGCCTATAGTCCCAGCTCTCAGGAGGCTAAGGCAGGAGGATGGAGGCCAGCCTGGGCTAAATAAAAGGGGCCTGTCTCAAAAGAACAAAAAGTAAATAATGAAATATTTGCCTGAATTCTCTAGTAGAGAAATTTTGTGTTTGCATCCTAATAGTCTGTCAATTTCAGAAACAAAATTCATGATTACAATATAGAATAGAATGCATTAACAAATACTGTGTTACACAATGGGACTGGAAATATAAGCTCTCATCATATCCTGTTTTCAACATAAAAATTCTCTTAGAATTATTTTCCTCAGGTAATGTAGATCATGCCTTGAAATTAGAGACAGTTGTTGGTCTTATGAAAGGTAACAGTATCAGCATGCCATAATGTACTACGTCTTGAAGGAAGGAAAAACATTCTTACGCCCATTTCACCACCTTTTTCCTGTTAGTTTATGTAGTTTAGGGGACACACACACTTTCTTTAATCTAACACCACCACTAGATAAGACTTCTAAGAATAGCCCCTCTACCCGGAACACCCAGCAGGCTTTTTTCCCCCTGAGAATGCCTATATGTACTATCTCTTATTTAGAGTTACGTCTAAGTTCTGTGTCTGCTTTTTACAGGCAAAGCAAGGCAAGCATATTTTATATGGCTGCAGTGAGCTTTTTAATGCTACACAGTTCATAAAGCAGGTAAAGTGTGCCTTTTTAGTGTTTCTCTTAGCATGACACAAGCCGTTGGTTCTCTGTCCTCTGAAAACTATCATTTAGTCAACTGAATTTAAATCAGCTTAAACAAAACCTCCTCTAGCTGTAAGTTTCACCATGGATATCAAGACAGTTCTGGTAAGTAACATTTTTTAAAAGGTTAATAATCCCAACTCTTTTGAAAGGGTAATTATTTAAAATTGAAGGATCTAAGTAGGCCATTCATGTATCCTATTCATGTGTCTGACATTGCCAGGCACATTATATTTGGGTGTCAGTTGATATAATCATGTCCGCTTTGAAAACTAGTGGCAACTGTATCCGAGTGTGTCCATTTCTATAGGGTCCTTTAAGTATCGTTCCCACCAATATTCTCAGTAATTTATTGACCTTAGCTTTTTAATCGATACTCCTATAGCCTAATCAATAATGTCTAAATGTTAGCATTTGGGGGCATAGGTAAAGGAGGTAGAGCTTCTCACTGTCACCCAAGGCCCCCTATTCAGGCCAAACCAGGATTCATGGCTTTGACAATGAAAAGAACTCCAGGACTAATGAGTTTGTGAAATGAGAGTCAGAGATTCTGTGACAGCTATTTCACAGCAGGGAAGCATGGGGTTAGGCAAAGAGGGGTGTTAGAGTAGAGTGGGACACCCCTGGGAATATGGGTGTGGCATATCAGAGAGGAGCCATAGAAAGCAACAAACCAAGGAGTGGCTGTTTGTTTAAACAAAATACTTTATTCTCTGAGAATTCCATACATGTTGCATGCACTTTGGTCATGTCCAGCACTATCCTTACCCTGTAATTTTCACATTTTAACCTTAGTGGAAATTTTTCAAACATACAGAAAGTTGAAGATGTGCACCACCACACTCAGCTTTTCCAGCATGCTGGGAATCTGAGCTCATGTCCTCATGTTTGCACAGCAAGCACCACACTGACTGAGCAATCTCACCAGCCACGCCTCTTACCTTCTATACTGTATTTTTACTGTACTTAGATACTGTTACAACTGCATACAGTATGTAGCAACTTATTAGATTTACTGTCTTGTAGCAGTAGAGTGTCATTTATAACACAGGTGTATAGTAGCCTCATACCACGTAGGTTTCTCTGATACACTCTGGGGTTGATGGAATCACCTAATGTTCCATTTCACAGTGTGTCTAGTCTTTAAGTGAGTACATGTTTTATATGTTGGACCATAAGTTGGTAAGGATTCTGTTCTCATAGGGAACCATTTGTTCTCTTCCCACTTTAATAAATCTTTATTCTCTTTCTGCTCTCTTTAAATAACTTAGTAATTCCAGAATTTCCACTTGGGTTTCTTTTCTTTTTTAGTTCTTTGATAATTTTTGTTTGCATTTTTTTGAGCATATTTTCTTTTACTTCACCAACGGTAACTATTGATGCTCTTAAGAACCTTGTTCTGATGAGCAAAGTGGTTAAGTCTGGGCTGATTTAACCCCCAGAAACAGCTGACCTGATAAGGGTTAGCTCTTGAATCCCAGACTGATGGCTGGGAATCCAGCATGGGACTGATCAAGGCCTAGGCAATCTATTGGGCCTTGGGTAATAGATCAGTATTTATCCCCGGCATACAAATGGACATTGGGTGCCGCACATCCAACAATGAGAGATGCACTCTCACCCTGGACTCTTGGAGGAGGGCCTAGGCCCTGCCCTGGATGAAATGACAGACTATGGACACCCCCATGGAGGGCCTCACCCTCCCTGGGGAAATGAGTACTGGGGGGATGGTGGAAGGGAGGGAAAGAGAGAGGGACCTGGGATTGACATGTGAATCAACCTTGTTTCTAATTTAAATTTAAAAATAAAAAATTTTAAAAATATGTGAAAAACACATAGAATAAATAAATTAATAAAAAAAGAACCTTGTTCATTGGAAATTGTGGGTTGTTTCTCTTTCCTCCATAGAACATGATTTCTTTTATTACGTTGCTTCCTGAGCATCATAGATTTGTGTTTTGATGAATGAATGCCACTCTCTGACAAGTACTGACTTAGGGATTCATTAGGCAGTTATTTGGTTAGTTCAAACTTTACATCATTTTCCCTTTCTCTTTCCTCCCTTCATCCCTCCCATGTATCCCAACTGCACCCCCTTTGCTCTTTCTCAGATTCATACGTGTGGCATGCACTTTGATCGTGTCCAACACTGACCTCTTTTATTGTTGCTACATACATGTATACATACTCATTCTCCTAAGTACAAATGGTTCAGTCTCTATGATGTTACTTGTATGTTTGTGATTTCAGGACTCAATGAGGTTTCCCCCATAAACTGATTCTTCAGTAGCAGCTCATATCTCAGTCTCTCATCAAGGAGACATTAGTGGTTTCCTGGTAGACTCAGGAAAAGTGTACACTGAATCTGCCACACCCTGAATTCTCGGGTTTCTCCCTCACTTATTGCCATAAACACTCTGCTCTGATTCTTCTGGCAAGGTAGTCAATTGCAGGGTTTCTGTCACAAGTCCACCTGCCTTGCGTAGCACCAGCTATGGCCTGCTTTCAAGACCAAGAGCCACAAAACCAGGAAAACCCCTAATGTCCTCAGCTTAAGTCACCTGCAAGCCTTCTTGTCTTACCTTGTTCTCCGTAGCTTCTGGGGAGCAGACCTCTAGGGAACTGACTTTCACTAAAGGCTTAACACTCCTGCCTGTGGAGAGTTGGTCCAGTAGGAGTGTATCTAGTCTTCCCAAACTGAACGTGGGTTTACTTTCTGCATTTAGTGCTCTGTTAGGAATATAAAGGTATATGGCACACTGTTAGCACATTTCTTTAGAAGCTACTTACATTTCTCTTTATAGTTTTATACTGAGTTTAATATGATTACTTATACCCACAGTTTGCTTGTAATGTTTATAGTTCTGTGCCATGACAGTGTTACATTTGAAAAGCATATGTTAAATTATGTTGTTGAAATTGACAATTCTAGGAATATGTAGTAAGTAGGAAACCTGAGATTTTGTAATTCAAAAATGGAAAATTATATGCATAAATTTTTCTTTCATTTTAGCTGTCACAACTTGGACAAAAATAACACAGAAGAACCGTAATGGGGTAATGAGTTGGATAGATGTAAAAGGAGCCAGATGTGTCCTTCTCCATAGCAGTGCCCTAACAGCGCGCCTGTCAGAATCATCCATTTTTAATAAATCTATACTTCTATACTGTATACTGATCAACATAATAAACTATTTCAGAAATAACTTGGCTTAATCTTGACAAATGAAAACTTACATTGGAAACAAGGAAAATTATGGAAAGATACTAAAATCGGTTATAGGTGTCACTTGAAGTTGGAGAAAGTTCATGTCACAAACTCCCCCACTTATATTTTCATTATAACATTGTCATCTCCAGTGGTTTCCCACATTGCTTCTGGATTTTTAGATGGAGATTTTAACCCCTTTAATATGTCTTTTTCCTCTGGCACACCTATTAATTTTATCAATAAAGACTGCTATTGATAGGGTACCATGTGATTTGCAGTGGACAAACACAAAACATCCATCCCCAAGACTGCTGAGTAGCAAGTAAAAGTGTTCAGCAACAGCAGAGAACAGTGGTTGCTCATTCCCTGTTCACTCTAAACCAGGCACTTGCAATCGGAACAGCAACGTTTGATAGTACCAGTAGTTATAATCTGGAGTAAGATCTATGTCTGATGTAACGAAACATCCACCTCAGGAGTTGTGGGCACAGCAGTAATGTCTGCAGACCAGGCACAAAATCTGAGAGAAATTCTTCGATGCACCTACAGGACATTTTAAAATGCTGATCTTGTCATAAAACCATTGGGATAAATGAAATCATTTGTGGCCTTTTCACAGCACCATTTGCATTAGGAACCAGTAACTGGCTGATAGTTCAAAAGACTGTTGGAAATTAGAGGCATAACTTCCAACCCATTATGAGAAAACTTTGAAATGAATGACTGCAAAACACCACACACTAAAATGCATTGTTTCAAGTAAAGAGCGTAAGTCCTCTTTATAGTTCAAAAGCATGGTTAAGAAGAGCAGGAAACTGGTACTTGTCCATCATGAACCAGAGAAATAAAAATTTCAATATGACAAAAAAGGACCAGAGAGGTTGCTTAGTGACTGAGGTACCTGCTGCTAACCCTGATGGTCTTAATTGGAGCCCAGGGAGCCACATAGTGGAAAGAGAGAACTGATTTCCAAAGCTGTCCTCTGACCTCCATGTGTGTACACGACAGGTCTTTAATGTAAAAATGCCTTAATATAGAAGTTAGTGTAGGTGGGGCGCTCAATGTCGAGGTTTCTACGACAGATGTCATAGATGGCCTCATTGTCTACCATGAAGGCACAATCAGAGTGCTCCAGGGTGGTGTGGGTGGTGAGGATGGAGTTGTAGGGCTCAACCACAGCGGTGGAAACCTGGGGGGCTGGGTAGATGGAGAACTCCAGCTTGGACTTCTTTCCATAATCGACAGAGAGCCGCTCCATCAGCAGGGAGGTGAACCCAGAGCCAGTTCCCCCACCAAAGCTGTGGAAAACCAGGAAGCCCTGAAGACCCGTGCACTGGTCAGCCTGTAGGAGAAAAGAAAAGGCACCGCTGTATCAACAGGGTGTATTGCACCACTTGCAATTCCTTTACTTGAATTAAAAAATATAGTGAATTGTATTAAAAATGATCTCATGACCATGTGTACGAGTCTATCTAGTTAATGTAGTGAACAAAGTTTACATATTTTGGCAGGTACCAACACTCCCCCACACTGTATTTTAAATGCATCCATCTATGGTATTTACCAGTTTGCGAATTCTGTCCAAGACAAGATCAATGATCTCCTTGCCAATGGTGTAGTGGCCACGGGCATAGTTGTTGGCAGCATCTTCCTTGCCTGTGATGAGCTGCTCAGGGTGGAAGAGCTGGCGGTAGGTACCAGTGCGAACTTCATCTGGAATAGGAGCCCAAGTCAGCCATTCACCAACAGTAACTGACACAAGCTCACTCACTCTTCGGTGTCTGAAGAGAGGTTCTGAGTGTGTGACCAGGACTGAATGCCTCAGGGAAGCCCCTGGCCCACTTACCGATAACTGTGGGTTCCAGGTCTACAAACACAGCATCACTGAAAGCAATCAGTGACAGGGTGCTGTGTACTGAATTCTGTCTCCTCAAAACTCACATGTGAGATTAAGATAGAGCAGGGTGTAATAATTAAGTTTAAATGAATTCATAAGAACGGACGCTGTATAGCTAAATAAAAATCAAACACTAGGCTGGGCGGTGGTGGCGCACGCCTTTAATCCCAGCACTCGGGAGGCAGAGGCAGGCGGATCTCTGTGAGTTCGAGGCCGGGCTGGACCGATAGCCTCCGAAACAATACAGAGAAACCCTGTCTCGTAAAAACCAAAAAAAAAAAAAAAAAAGACACTAGACCTCTGGCTTGTATAAGAGGAAAGAAATGTCATCTCTCCCTTGTCCTCAATGAGGCTTCACCACACCTTAGCCCCAGTGACACTTTGGTCTTGGACTGTAAGAAAGTTATCTGTTGAAACCAAGTTTGCTATCTTGTTAAGGCAGCCTCAGCTGGCTGATGCAGAAAAGGCATACACTTAGGGCAAAACTGATGAAAATAATGTAAAAAGATACAAAACCTGATCTCAGGGTTAAAAAGAGGCATCAGCCCTAGGACCACAGATGCCAAGGAATTGTGGGAAGCCTGTGTTCTATGCCAAGATAGAAGAGTAGCCACCAAATTTATCATCCCAGCATAGATGATTTCAAAACTGAACAGAATCCATGGAGTAGCTGCCTTAAGATACTGGAAATTAACAAATCTCGTGGACTGCAGAGAGAAAATAGATTTAGGAGATTGCCCCCACTTCTGTGTTAGATGACACAGCTAGAAATCATTAGCCTCTTATTGAGGAAGTTCTGGGAGTCAAGAGAAACAGGGATGACCATACCACTCACAGCAGAGACAACTGCTGCATAACTCGGGTTGAGCAGAAGGACCCCTTTCTCAGCAGAGGACTTTGTGTGTCAGGGAAGAAGTCATTTGACTTTACACATGCCCTCACAACAGTGCTGGGAACCGAACCTGAGTCCTTTGCAAGAGCAGTGCATACATCACGGCTTTTCACGAATATTTGCTAAAACGGCTTTTCAAGAATATTTGCTAAAACATATTTGCTCTGGGACTTTCTTTCAATATGTTCTGTTTTATTTATTGAAATTTCAAAATAAATCAACTCTGTAAAATCTAGAGCAATATTCACGAGTTACTGTTGGGAGCTGTGTGACCGAGTTTCAGACCAGTATTATGAGAGTTTGTCCACCGGGTGTCTAGATGAGGCAAAAGCTCATGAGGACAGTCTCACTCGGCGAGGAACAGTGGACTTTGGGACAGCTCAGAATACTGCTGGGACCACTCAACGTGCACACTCTTCTCTCTTAGAATTCTCTGGGCAGTTTACTGTCATTTTGTCAATCATGCATGGGACAACTGTGATCTTTCCCAGAAACCCCATTTTTTTTCTCAAATATTTTCCCCTAAAATTCTTTGGTATAGCAAGAAGTGGGCTCAGTGGCTCCAGCCACCATCCCCTAATACAGGGGAGGGAGCCTCACAGGGTGAGCCAGGCCGCCTTGTTGGAAAGATACTGGCAGACCCACAGGACAAGCCTACAAGCTCGTATCCAGTTGGGCCGTTTGTATCCTGTGTGACCTGGTCAGCATTCACGGGGGTCCTTGTCTAAGGAAATAGAACTAAAAATAAGTGAAACCACAAGTCAGAGGGCCTGAGGAGAACTGTCAGAGACTCTGGGTGGGAGACAAACACAGGAGGCAAATGTGGAAGGAAGGAAGACTGGATGCAGACACACCGAGCAGCTCAGGCAGGAGAAGTAGCTTGGGCAAAAGAAGGGTATGGTGGTTGGCAGCCTCAGCCTTGTGCAATAAGCAGACCATCTTCCCTGAGGGTAACTGGGCGCCAGGTGTCCAGAGCATGAAGTCAGCAGGTGGTCCCTACTAGAGCCACCTGTCCTTTATGTAGCTCATTGCTGGTGGAGTCTGTGACTTGCATAGTCTCATACCAGAGCATCGTATTTAATGCAGAATGCGATCTGAAAGCACGAAGACCTTTCCTCCTACAGACCTTAGTGCTCAGTCTGCTTCTCCCATCTCCCATCACACCCAGGAAACATCCTTTGGACAGAACATTAGCCACCCCAGATTATATGAGCTAGAGAGTCTACAGATCATAGGAGATCTGCCCAGCGCATAGGCTGCAATGCTAAATATGGCCAGCAATAAGTAGTTCTCTGTCAGACATCCGACATTTGACCAATCCAGGCTGCACACCGATCTAAACAGTAGGACAAAAGAATCAGGCTGGACCCATGGTTCAGAGGTTAAGTTCCAGAGGTCCTGCGTTCGATTCCCAGTAACCACATGGTGTATCACAGCCATCTGTAATGAGATCTGGTGCTCTCTTGTGGCAGGCAGGGACACATGGAGAAAGAACACTGTCTACATAACAAATAAATAATCTTTAAAAAAAATAGAATCTATTCCCTCCACCTAGTATTCTCCAATATTAGAGTACCCAGAAAGAGGCCACTCCAATATTTTGTCTTTTTAACTTTACAATTACTTGTTTTACAATTTTGGTTTTAATTTTTCTTCTTGTATAAGTGTGGATGTATGCATAGAGCATACATAGTATAAATGTGAATGTGTGTCTGTGTGTGTCCATGTGTGTGCATTTGGAGGCCAGAGGCCAACATCAGGTGTCCTCAGTCACTCATTACATCATTTTTTAAGACCGAGTTTCTCACTGATTGACTCAGCTAGACTGGCTGACCTGCAAGCCTGAGGAACACTCCTTTCTCCATCTCCCTAGTGCTGGGATGACAGGTGCACAACACAGTACTTGGCTTTTTAAAGCGAGTTCTGAGATCAAACTCAGCTCCTTGTGCTTTACCAGCAAGTGCCATATCCCCTGGGCCATCTCCCCAATCCTCCCCTTCTCCCATACTTGGCGATTATTTTGAGATTGTTCTTAACTTCATAGCTCGTTCTAATTACATAAGCCATTTTCTGTTCTGTGGTGGTTGGTGGTACACCAGTTAGCTTTCATTACTTTTAAATGTTTCTCTCTATATATTATTGGTTTGGTGATGCGGTTACAGAGTTTGTTTTCTCAATGAGGGATAGTGAAGATTGAGCCCTCAGGCAAAAGCAGCTCACTGAGAAGATCCCCAAATAAAACTGGAAGAGAGATGCAGGCCAACAGACGTGCAAATTATAGATCAGAGAGACAAGGAATGTGTAAACAAGAAAAGGCAGCTTCTAACATCATGACTCCTCAATTAACAAATCGGAAGATACATGGTTTAAATGCTGGACAAAGAGTTCAGAAGAGCACCTGGAAAAGTAATCAGTGGCTTCAAAGAGGATACAAGCAAGCAGTGAATGAAGTAAGGAAATCATTCGGGGAAATGTATGAGAAATTTTAGAGCAGATGAGACAGCAATACAGATGAGAAATTCAGTAAGGAAACAGATTTTTTTATAAAAAGAAGTATTGGAAATGAAAATTTCATTGAATCAAAGAAAATACAGTGGAAAACATCACCAACAGGCCATACCAATCAGAAGAAAGATGATTAGGGGCGTATGATAAGGTCAACAAAACACTGCCTCCAGATACCAATCCAGAAAAAAAATATAGTCCTGTATACCCAGCTCAGTGAGCCAGCAAGCCCCTGGTGTGAATGGGGGCAAAAAAAAGAGCAAAGCAATATCCAAACCAATTAAAAAAATCAAATAACAGGAATTGTCAAGCATGTCTTCAAAAGTATGCAGGGTCTTAACTCTTGAATAAAAAAATTTGAATGGCTGAAGCATTTAAAAACAAGAACAATTATTGTTTACTACAAGAAACAGACTTCACTGACAGACACAGACTAACAGTGGCATGATGGAAAACAATAGAACAATTATTGTTTACTACAAGAAACAGACTTCACTGGCAGACACAGACTAACAGTGGCATGATGGAAAACAATAGAACAATTATTGTTTACTACAAGAAACAGACTTCACTGACAGACACAGACTAACAGTGGCATGATGGAAAACAATAGCTACCAACAATTGTGATCCATACAACTAGCAGGACTAGCTCAACTCATGATAAAGTTGATTTCCAAACAAATGACAGGCCAGCAAGATCGTACTGTGGGTAAGGGTACTTGCCACCAAGCCTGATGAACTGATTTCAGTCTCCAGAACCCATAAGGCAGAGGGAGAAAAGCAACGCCTACAAGTTGTCCTCTGATCCCCACACATACCATGGCACTCATGTGAGCATATGCACACACATAAATAAATACCTGAAAATAAAATTACTCAGTAAGGAAACATTAAATATTAACAAAAGGGAACAATCCATCAAGAAGATATAATAAGATATAATAAGCCGGCCATGGTGGCACGAGCCTCGAATCCCAGCACTTGGGAGACAGAAGATATAATAAGCCGGCCATGGTGGCACGAGCCTCGAATCCCAGCACTTGGGAGACAGAAGATATAATAAGCCGGCCATGGTGGCACGTGCCTCGAATCCCAGCACTTGGGAGACAGAAGATATAATAAGCCGGCCATGGTGGCACGAGCCTCGAATCCCAGCACTTGGGAGACAGAAGATATAATAAGCCGGCCATGGTGGCACGAGCCTCGAATCCCAGCACTTGGGAGACAGAAGATATAATAAGCCGGCCATGGTGGCACGAGCCTCGAATCCCAGCACTTGGGAGACAGAAGATATAATAAGCCGGCCATGGTGGCACGAGCCTCGAATCCCAGCACTTGGGAGACAGAAGATATAATAAGCCGGCCATGGTGGCACGAGCCTCGAATCCCAGCACTTGGGAGACAGAAGCAGGCAGATTTCTGATTTCAAGTCCAGCCTTGGTCTACATAATGAGTTCAGTACAGCCAGAGTTCCATAGTAACTGTCTCAAAAAGAGAAAGAATGAGAAGGTGGAGGAGGAGGTGATGATGACGATGAATATGATGGTGGTGATTTAACAATTATAGAGGATGGACAGTTAAGAGAGGATATTACTCTCAGTATTGGTCTTGAGTTCAGTTCCCAGCATCCACATCAGGGAGGTCACACCTGCCTGTACCTCCAATTCTGCTGGCTTCAGTACCTCTGGACTCCTCAGACACCTGCACACATATAGACATACACACATACACATGATTAAAATTAAAAGTGAATGTAACCATTGTAAATGTGTATGTACTGAATGTTAATAACCTGGATTTCATAAGAAGGGGCAGAGAGGTTCAAAGGCATAATGGTAGATGAGTTCAACAACCCACTCTCATCAAATATCAGTTAGGTCAACTGAAATTAACAGATATCCACAAAATATTAAATTCAACATATCCCGGGGGTCGCATATCCACAAAACACATTCTTCTCACCAACCCATGGAACATATTCTTAAATAGATCACATTTTACCAGGAAGTATATCCTAATATAAAAAAATATAATTATTCCTTGAACTTTGTCAGAATACCATGAACAAAACTAGAATACAAATATATGAATATTCAATGATGCACTCTTCAGTTAGTATATTATTCAGTTATTATCAATAACTATTCAGTGATTCACCTAAAAATTAGAATTTTTAAGTTACTAGAGTCCAATGAAAATGAAAACACAATTTACAGGACCTTTGGGACGCAGCTTGGAAAGTTAGAGGTGAGTTTATAGGTGTGAATCCTGACACTAAGGTCTCAGTGGTCTCTAACAGCCTAACAATGTGCCACATGGTCTTAAAAAGTAAAAGCAATAAGTCAAAGCCCAAAGAAGAAGGCATCCAGAAATAAAGACCACAGCAGAAAGTAATGAAATAAAGAGCAAAAAGAACAGCATAGGGACCTGGGGATGGGGTGGCCTTAAGTCAGGCCTCCCCTGCAAGCATGAGAGCCTGACTGTAACCCCAGAACCCATCTTATATATAATCAGGCAGCACCTGGGGGATAGGACACAGATTTAAAGTGTGTGTGTGTGTGTGTGTGTGTGTAATATGTAACCCCAGAACCCA